CTTTTTCCACCGTCCCCACATTAATGTCATTTGTCACTGAATACATAAGAGCAAAAGCTATTTTAAGCATAGTGAGTCAAATTTAGATCCACGTAATCGTTCCTACAACAAACCGGACCCACTGTCACCAACGCGGCTCGGCATCATCATCTCAGTGGGGTTATTTTTGAATTGACTCATGAGAAAGAATCACAGATTTTATATTACTGTTCTATTTATTGCATATTACTTCAATGTTTGTGTCAGAAATTAAAATGCTCCTTTCATCGTCACTATGTTTGACTAAATCACAATAATTCCCCGTTCTATTCTGATATTAAATCAACGGCACGCTTTCAGAAGGTGATCATTCACATGAAAACCGTGTTCCGCAAAATTCAAACAGACCGTTTGAATTGAACGTGTGTGTGGACTGTGCGGGACACTATGTAATCCAGATGTAATCCAGATGTTACAGGGAAACGGTGTGTGTTTGAAGTGACCAATAGGGGCAATGATGTTAGAAACTGCCCCAGTGACAGTTGACTGAAACGAGAGAGAGAGCAGCGCAGGTGTTGTCTGGGTTGGTTTTTGTCGGAGTAGAGAAATTGTAGCTCGCTGCTGTCTAGAAGATTATCACCATCATGGCTGCTTCTTTCCGTAATGTTGGACATGTCGGACATTTATATTCGGTCAGTGGACAAAAAAAGTCCTTTTTGTGGACGTTTATTGAGGCTGGACTGCAGCGTTCTCTCAGCACTAGAGAGATACGGGATGTTCTTGTCCGGGGTCATGGGGTCATGTTAGTGCACAGCACATCTCAGATTAAGACAGACTTGAAGGACAAAATAAGGCCAACGTGGGTCCTATATTGTCACAAAAATCCCTCAGTGGTGACATATTGTTATAAGATAACAATATAAGATCTCTGTATGTATTTGCTGACGTTACTCAGATGTTTCACGTGCTGATCTGTTGTTAAGATCCACATGTCTATAAAATATCTGTCACCATGAAACATTCCTTCAGAAGCTGCTCGAACTAGAAAAGAGGAGACTTTCTTTTCTGTATTTCTGTTACACAACCGACGCATCGAGCCCTCAACAGAGGAGAGCGGAGACACAAGCGGGTTCGGCGGTGCCGTCCCGTGCGGTAAAGCGTTAGTTAAACTGAGAGGATATTGCCCTCTGCAGCTCACTGTGGGCTTTACATCCGGTCGGTGGTCTCAGGTCTCGTCTTCGTGCGAGCGGTTCGAATCGCCGCTGCCCGCCGGACGCTCTGAGCAAAAGGCCTTTTTGCACTTGACTTTGCGTGGAGGGAGGGAGTGTAGCAGGTCCGCGCGCAGCGCTTCTCAGGCTCGCTGCTGCTTGCGTTTCCCATCCACGCTATATTTACCTGTGTACCTCCGCTGTGTGCTCGGCGCTGGAAAGGCAAACATGCGGGTATTTTCATATAAATACACATTAAGGAGAGATGGATCTCACTGAAGCACATTACTGTCGTGCAGATGTGTGCAGGCTGCACATCCACTAAGCCCCCACCCGACCCCCCGACCCCCTCCCACGCTGCATTTCTCTCTTCTCCACTGTCCCTAATCTCTCTCCTTTAGGCCTTCGTTTAAGCTTCACAGGGCGACTTGTTAAGGATATTTTGTCTGGCGCTTTATATTCAACGTTGAATGAGGAGAGTGGAAAAGGTGACAGGGACCCGCTAATCTGCACGAGGAGGACAACTTGAGACCTCCTAAGTCTTTGACGGACTTCTCTTCGGTTTTCCATGTTGAACAATAAAGTAACGCTGCAGCTGCAGCTTAACCCGTCAGCATTTTTAGTCGGGATTCATTTCTTTGTTATTTAGTTTATGAAAATAAAATTGTGAAACATGCGGTTCGCAAGTTGCCAGAAAAGAATAGACCCAACTTTTTTTGACGGGCCTTGACGAGAACGCAGTCTTACTTTATTGCGCACACACACAATAAAAATGGCAGCATGCACACAATTCTGAGAAAAAAAAAAAAACGGAGGACAAAGAAAAACACAAGACTCCTGAAAAGGCACAAACTCTAAATCCAAATCATTCCAACGAGTTCCGCCCTCACTAAATGCCCGGCTTAGGATTACGTTCCACGTGCGTTCCTTCTTTTCATCTCTCCGATTTTCATAAAAACGCAGTAATCCGAACGGGAGTTTCGTGGGGTATTCGGCCTTTATTTCCTGTCTCCAGATAACACCCTGCGTCATAAACGGCTCCTCTGTTTGGAATTATCTCTTTCTTTTCTCGGGGGGTGAGGCCGCGGGGGCCCCGGGTGGGAGGTTACGGAGCATTCCACCTGGACCGCGGCGCGTTGGCGTGTTTGTGTTGCATTACACATCGCAGCCTTCACAACACCGCTGGCTCCACTGGGGCTTAGGCCCCCTGGGATTTAAGCACGCAACCGCCACAGGCCAGAGAGGAAGGAGGGAGCGGAATGAGGATGAGATGTGGGGATGAAGGTGTGTGTGTGTGTGTGTGTGTGTGTGTGTGCTCTCTTGGACTCGTTGTTGAGGCGTTCCGTTAACCTCGTCTCTGGGAAGCGAAGGGCACAAACACGCAGGGGGGAGCAGATAAAAGTGAGACGGGGGATGAAAACGCCCGAACACACACTGGCCCCAAGGCCTCCGCGGAAATGTTCCCACGCGTGTACAGACACACACACACACACACAAACACTTATCCTGAAACATTAGCCGCATAAGGGCTTATCGTGTGTTTATTAAATGTTTCCAGGGTGAATGTCAGGCCGGCCGGATGCCACCCAGCTGTTTGTGTCGGGATGCTGCCTGGCCCAACGGGCTCTCGCCTCCGGGTTCTTCTGTCCGTCGGGTTTCTCCCGTCGCCCGACGGACAGTCTCTCCCGGCCCGAACGTAGCGCTCGAGCGGCCGAGGCTACGCTAAACAACACGTGGGGGGGATCAAACAGGCACACATGGCTTTGATGGAACCCCCCCCTCCCCCCCCACGCTACCACAACAGAGCCAATCACAGCCGGGCAGAGGCGAGTTGGAACGTGGAAGGCAGGACATGTGGATCTGGGGAAAATATATAAGCTGGCAGAGGGCTTGAATCCCCCAAGAGTTTAGATTTTTCTCAACTTAATGGTTGTGTATTTCTTAAACGGTATATTGTTCGGTATATCGTATTTCCTGCTAAGGCCTTTTTTTGGCCTGGTATGGCCAGTATAGCAAATGGTGGCTAACGTTAGCCAAAGTTAGCATTACAAATATTTGATCACAGTGCTAAAAGAGGACAGGAGACCTTCTCCTCGTTCCGGCCAGGACCCAAATTGTGACGTCTTCAAAATGCTGTAACCACAACACTCACATGTTGAGCGTTTTTGATATGCCGAGTATTTGTAGAAATGTCTCTAAAGTTTCTTTTACGTTTACATTTATTCCTGGGACATGTTCTAGTGCTTCTCTTGGCTACAGTGACAAGCATCATGCTGCTGCTGCTGCTGCTGCTGCTATTAAAGTTAATCACACTTTGAGCTGGGGGCGATCGGTCTAAATTAGAGCTCTGGCAGTGTAAATGTTTACCTCCGCTTGTCCCATTTTGCCTCTCAGGCAGAAGCCTTTAGCGTAGGAGCTCGACGTAGACCGATGTCACGTGGCCAATGCAGGGAAACGCTCGCAGTGAGGTGAAGGCGATAAAACTGCTTAGTTTGCTTCAAAATAAGAACGGCTGAAACAAAGCATGTGACGTCACGTGACTCATTTTGGACCTTCAAAGACCTCCACCTACAGTCAATCATCCAGCCAGAGATGCATTCTTGCCCGCAGTTTTTTCAAAAATGTCGCTGCAGAGTGAGGTCACCCCTGCGGGTGGATGTGAGCGGATGTGGTGGAGATGTGGTGGAGTGGCAGAGAGCGGGGTTATCGCAGCGATGAGTGCTAAATGCTGACACTGTCTGGAGGGATGAGAAACAGAAGTCCGTCAAAGAGACGGAGATGTTATCTGCCCCGTTGAGAGGAGGAGATGAGAGGGTGGATGAGAGGAGGAGCCGTCTGACCTCTGCAGCGACGGTGTACTAATTATACCGCCACATTTACGAATAGCCATGACGATAATGCGCCATTGCAACACATGGACGTTACCACTCAAACTGCATGACTGGAGGATGCAGACGAGTGGAGGAGCGGCCAAACGCCGATCCGTGCGTGATGAAATCGATCGATTAGGATGTCATCGGTGGCACGACTTGCCACGTGTGTGTTGTGCGTTACCGTCAATGATCCGACAGCAGAACTCTCTGCAATCTGGATGTGGGCCGCAGCTCGATTGAGACGGACTAGCAGGGCTTTGCAGAGGTATGTGTGGTCTCAGGAACCCACAACTCATAAAGCAAGGTTGAGAAACCTTAAGGAAAAACATGTTTGCTGGGGATGGAATGATGGGAAAAGAAATGTTACCTTGTGTCTACACACTGTTGACACAATGTAACACAACAAACAAATCACAAGCTAACTAGTACCTTTCAAAGCGCCAAAACTGCGTCACGTGGATCTGCAAAACTTTCCATTGTTTTTCAGAACGTATGTTTTTCAGACTCAACATACGTCTACATGAGCGCACTTTGAGGAGTGTAGACGGAACATAATCAGGGCTGCTGCTTATGAGGAAGCCTATTTCTGTAAGGTGCAGCTGGGACTGGAGATATGAGGCTGAAGTGAGGTGAGGTGGATGTGTGAGGGTCAGGGCTTCCAGACTGATGCCATTTACTCACCCATCTTGTTTGTGTGTGTGTGTGTGTGTGTGTGTGTATGCACTATATCTCCCCGACCTGTCTGGCCTGGAGGTGGTGTGTACGATAAGCCACTTTCCCTCCTCTCAGTGTCCTCACAAGCAGACATTTATCCAAAACAATCCCACAACGTCATGGGAAGCAAACCCCTCGGTTCACAACGCGTGCTTCACCTCGACGGGGTGATCAAATTCTCTCCTTGCAGGATTTTCACATTTTCTTTGACAATAACTGTGACACTGAGGTTTGAGGTCCTGTTGTCATTTTGTCAGGTACCTGGCCAAGCTGTCGTCAGTGGGGAGCATCCGGGACGAGGAGACGTGCGAGAGGTTACGAGGCCTCATCCAACGACAGGTACCCACATCCACCTTTGTGTCCAACATCGTTTTCTGCCAGCGTGGAGAACCAATCATTTGACAGCTCCCGCGTGTCTCCGCTCCAGGTCCAGATCTGTAAGCGCAGTGTGGAGGTGATGGACGCGGTGCGTCGTGGAGCCCAGCTGGCTATAGACGAGTGTCAGTTCCAGTTTCGCAACCGTCGATGGAACTGCTCCACCCTGGAGACCATGCCCGTGTTTGGCAAGGTGGTCACGCAGGGTAAGACGATGCTCTGTGAGCCTTCCCGTCGCCGACTCCCAGCGAGTCGCTTGAAAGACGAGGCGAGGACCGACCAACCGGTGTCATCCCCAACCTGCCACGTGTGGGTGACACGGCTTCAGTAAACTCACGCAGCTTACGTTCCGGCCCGGGATGTAAATTAGTAACGTTGTGTAACCGCTTACGCTACTTAACATGAGTCAATGTTGACTTATGGTTTCACGGGGAACACAACCACTGTTCTCCTGGGAGAAATCCCTGTGTTTGCTGGACCCACAGTTCTTCCCCCGGGGGGGGGGGGGGGGGGGGTCGCTCTGAGCGGCAGCTGGCTTTGAAGCTGCTCCACAGCCCTGTGCATCGGTATGAGGCAATGAGATGCCTGAACCTCCAACTGATTGACACTCCAAGCCACGTTTACAAAAATAGAGTTATTTCCATTCAGTAACATTTTAGAGCTGGTTTCCATTTGTTTTGGCTCAACCAGCTCGTGTGTGTCGATGTCGGAGCTCCCTTAGACGTTAATGCAGTCTTTATCTGTAGAGGTTTCCTCGCCAGTCAAAACGAGGAGCACTTTTCAGTTACATAATGAAACAATACGGCTGTGTGTGCCTGTGTTTGTGTGTGTGTGTGTGCGTGTGTGTGTGTGTTAGGCACCCGCGAGGCCGCCTTTGTGTATGCCATCTCAGCAGCCAGTGTGGCGTTTGCGGTCACGAGGGCCTGCAGCAGCGGAGAGCTGGAAAAATGTGGCTGCGACCACAATGTACATGGAGTGAGTCCAGAGGGTAGGTCTCTCTTTCCCTTCCACACAAACACACACACACACACACAAAAGAAACAGAAGGACCAACTAATCCAGTACATTTTAATGCAATGAGTTTAAAAAGTAAACTGGAATAACGTTCATATTCAGCATGTTCCATTGTGACAGCTTTCATGTCTTATTTTCAGGTGTATAATGATTATTTTCTCATTGTCATTTCACAGGGTTCCAGTGGTCGGGCTGCAGCGATAACATTGCATACGGCGTGGCTTTCTCCCAGTCCTTCGTCGACGTGAGGGAGAGGAGTAAAGGCCAGTCCTCCAGTCGGGCTCTCATGAACTTGCACAACAACGAGGCTGGCAGGAAGGTAACTAGCCGTCCTTGGCATACAGAATGCGCCCTTTGTGACACGCTGCTGCTACTTCTTTTAGAACGGCTTCAGCTCAGTTCAACAGTTCACTTCTCTGAACCACCTTTGCACTTCCCTCGAAATCTTTATTTGATATAAGTTTGAGCCTTTAGTCGGAAAAGTCCGGGGTAAGTCTTTCATTTTCTAGGTAAGTCCAAGTCTCAAGTCAGTCCAATCGGGAAGCTACTTCGAAAGGTGTCATTAGAGGCTGCAGTCCAGAGACAGAGACGAGGCAGGTCTCGAGTTGACGAGTTGAAGACAAGTTAAAGTCAAGTTTATCATTCCAGACTAGCTGGCGTCTGGTCCAAAGTAATATGAGACGTCAACTCCCAGCCGAGCTTTAAGTCATCCAATAATCAGTTCGTCTTCAGGTCATATGAGACATTTCAATTTAAAAATACATCAAGTTCAGAATCAATCAGAATTAAATGAAGTCCGACTTTAGCTTCAAGTCTCTGGTAGCCGGACAAAAAGTTGTCGTAGTCACGACGACGTAGTTGTACAAGCAAACAGTCAGCATGTGACATATGGATCCAGATGTCCACATCAGCATTGCCTCGTCGTCACATCAGTTCAAGGTCTTGCTGCTAACCAGAGTTTCTTCTCTGCAGGCCATCCTCTCCCACATGCGCGTGGAGTGCAAATGCCACGGCGTGTCAGGCTCCTGTGAGGTGAAGACCTGCTGGAAAGCCATGCCGCCCTTCCGCAAAGTGGGCAACGTCATCAAGGAGAAGTTCGACGGCGCCACTGAGGTGGAGCAGCGCAAGGTGGGCACCACCAAAGCCCTGGTGCCTCGAAACTCCCAGTTCAAACCTCATACTGACGAAGATCTGGTCTACCTGGAACCCAGTCCGGACTTCTGCGACCACGACCCGCGCACGCCGGGCATGCTGGGCACCATGGGCCGCCAGTGCAACCGGACGTCAAAGGCGATCGACGGCTGCGAGCTGATGTGCTGTGGCCGCGGCTTCCAAACGCAGGAGGTGGAGGTGGTGGACAGGTGCAGCTGCAAGTTCCACTGGTGCTGTTACGTCAAGTGCAGACAGTGTCGCAAAATGGTGGAGATGCACACTTGCCGGTGATGGTGGCAAGGCACAGAGGGCACTGCTGATGAACAAAGCCAACGTCCCCAAACTCCTGCTCCACCACAAAGGCCAAGAGGGAGCAAGAAAGACTCGCTAACCTCCCTCTTCTCCCGCTTGAAAGCACGCCACCCTCCCGATACTGGCCAACAGACCGAGGGGCTTGGAAGTCAAACGTCGTCCTATTCCTTCTATGACACCTTCATGGACATCAGCAGATCACGCATGGGACCGCAAAGCTACAGAGGCAGTTTGTTTCCTCTCAAGTAGAGCGTCTTTCACTTTCCGCCCCCCTCCCTCACTCTCGTGCTCGCTATGTGTCGTTGACGCTTCTTGTTTTTCTAATATTTAACTTATTTTGTTGAGACTGAGGAGATGGCCGAGGGGCGGACCTACAAGGGGGGACAGGCCAACGGAGATGACGAGGGACAAACTGGACCCACGGTGTGGGCAGAGGAGTGGGTGGGGGGTTAAAGGGTTGCGTTGGAGTCAAGAGGAGGGTTGTTTGCCCTCTGTCTTTGCTGCTGCCGCTGCTGCTGCTGCTTTTCGGAGGACTCAGCCGGACTGTTGGATGTCGAGAAAGGGAGACGCGAGTCCGTCGGGAGGGCCGACCGTGATTAGCTCCCCGAGCGCGCATGGCTGTGCTGAGCTGAGGTGGTTTGAGGCGGTTGAGTCATTTTTTTTGCCCCCCCTGATGCTGCTTCACTCACACACACACACACACACTCACTCACTGTCAGTAGGAGGATGTTGATTGACAGGCGAAAGCCACTTTCAGCTCCTTCCTGACTTTTCTGTACATTACTGGCAGGTGAAGTTCATGGCAGGTTCGCGATGTTGTCACACACACACACACACACACACAGCAAACATTGTTCCAAATCAACACCTGTATTCATCCACAGCTGCTCTACACACAACATGAAACCAGACACCGTGCAACGAAAAAACGCTAACGTATCTGCATTTAAAGAGCGATTTGTGAGAGTCTCGCTCGTTGATCTTGGGCCCCCACCTGCACGGCGCCATCTGCCTAAAACGCTACACAAAGGGGTCTGCCAGAGGGTTGCCGGGCATGCTCACCATGCATGATGACTGAAGCACTTTCTCTCCAAGCGCACATAGAGCCCTCGCAGCCCCAGCAAGCGACTATGTGACCATACACGCAGTCTTCCCTGTTTAAACACACACACACACACACACACACACACATAGTTTCCCATGCCACTGTCAGGACTATTGTTGTCTTGTGCCACCACCACGAAGCCAAGCTTTCCCTTAATAACGTGCTATCATTATAGAGACATACTGTAGATCTGTAAAGACTTATACACTGAAGAAGACTGTACTGCCTATGAATGTATGTTAATACGGAATATATGCTGTGTCAAAAATGGCTGTTGTCGCGTCTTTCAAAAGAGTCCACGTGTTTTGTGTGTGTGCATGAGAGGACAGAAGCATGGAGACGGTGGATTCATTCCCCATTCCACCACCAAGCCCTGAGACACACACACACGCAAAACGCAGCCCTTCTGACGGACGGACACATATTTCAATAAAATCGTCCATTTCCCGTGTCTTTCAGCTGCGTTATTATGTGACCACAGTGTGCACGTTGCAGCATTTAGTCAGTGTGTGTGTGTGTGTGTGTGTGTGATTGTGTGTGTGTTGTTTGGCCCTCTCCCAGCACCCCTGACACCTCCAGACACAGTTAAATGTGCCATACGTTACTGCGTGCAGCATATCATCTGGAGACATAAGCATGTGAAGTCTGCTCTCGGGAAGAACCGGAGCGTCTGCTCGGGTTCCAGCGACGGCCCGATTGGGTTCGGGCTGAAGAGGGGTGAACAGAGGCGAGGAACACCAAGCTGTAGCAGGGATCACAGCCAAATGCAGACCACATGGTGCAACCTTTTTACCCTCCTTCTGTCTCTATCAATATCAGTCAGTCAGACAACTACTAATGCCTTTTGTGGTTTGCTGCGGTTGTGGCTTAGACCAGAGGCCGACAGTTGGGTTTCACTACTCAGCGTGAGGGTTTGTGTCAAAGTTAAGATGCAGCAAACACGGGGTTATAAAGCTGATTCAAATATTTGTGGAATAAAAATAAAGTTGATATTTTGCGCTAATATTTCACCTCCGTACGGACAATATTCAGGCCAAAAATACCCCAAAAATGTATACATCATGTACGCACATCTTTGATAAACATATCCAACATCAGACACAGCGTGCAGTCTCTGGTGGCAGCAGTGACCTGTCAATCACATAAGCCTGCCCTGAAGCATAGCGTGCTTTGAGTTCCAATTCACACAAGAAGCACCACAACTCACTTAAAACTAGGGATTGAGACTGTTAACACATGTTTACAATGTTTACAGAGGTAATTCATCAAATGAGAAGTTCTCATAAACTTCTATGAATCTGACTTCTTTTTGAAACCCGGAGGAGTCGCCCCCTGCTGGTTGATAGAGAGAAAGCAGGTTTTAAGACCAACTGAATCCCTTTGAATTTGAAAAATGTTTTCACAAGAAAGGGCCGAAAGGAATACGAGGCGTTACTGTGTGTGTGACTTACAGGCGATATATAGAAACAAGTGTTGAATTCATAAGCAACACAATGTAGTCCAGGTGTTTTGCTGCAGCGATACTGCTCTGATAAGACCAGTAGCATGTAGTGGCTAACATAAGCTAGAGTTGGCTAACGTTAGCTCATAGTGGCTAGATAAAATCTATTAGGTAGATAATGCTAATAATAGCTTCTGGCCGCCAGAAAAAGTTACAAAAGTCAAACCTTTTAGGTGAAATCATAATCATCATAACCACATGATCACAATCATAACTTATAACGTAACTTATGAAGCGATTTTTTAAAGAGTTTAAAAAGTTTATGTCAAAGATAAAAATGTTGAATAAAATAAGAAGCGAGCCATAAACACATTGTTGCACTCGTAATTTCTCCAATTACATGTCCAATGTTGGTAAAAAAATAAAATAAAACGAACGTGAGAAGATTCTTTATTGTACACGTCCTACATCTGCAACGCACAACAACCCATAAATCCAAGAGACACACACTGATATTTCATTGAAATGCCACATTGTGAACAACAAAACCATATTGAATGTATACGAATAAACAAAAAGAAACCTTGCTTACGAGATACCAATTACGATAGTTTCATAAGCGCATAAATGACTTAATGACCCTCGCTGCAACAAGAGCGACCCTCACGATTTCAGTCGTACGATCAAGGCTCTAAACTTAGTATCACACTGAGTAAAAGCAATGTGTTGGAGAATGCACGTTGAGCATTGGAGTCCACCACCCCCCCTCTGTCCCTCCCAAACCGATTTATACAGCGGCTCAGCAGCAACTTTACGTCAACTAATGAGAGGTAACGGTGTGACCACCTTTCTAAAAAAATAAAATATGTACGATGGTCAATGGCGAGAGACAATTAAGTATTTGATCCCATTTGAATTGTGTCATGATGTCTGTGAATTTAAAACCTAATTCTGCACATCAAGAAATGGGGCACGATAGAACTTGACTCCAAAAACCAATATTCAGTATCATCACCAGATCTAGTATGTCTCAATACATCCGCTGTGTCACTTGAAGCATCCATTCAATTGGGGCATACTGAGTAGCTATCAAGCATACAAAATAGTATAGTAGTCAGATCACAACATCATGTGTTGCTTTTTCAGATCTTCACTTCTATTCAAGACTTGATCCCAGAGATGACCAGACAGAACAGGAATTTATTGTGGATAATGATGAAAGATATTTAAAAAATGAATAATTTGCTCCCTCGTGCTCCGCTGACAATGAGAGAGATCACTGGGCCCCGAGTGAACGTTCCGCCTGGGAACTCTTATTCCCAGCCGCCAGCAACAGGTGTGGCGATTGCGGGAGAGAGAGGGAGAGAGAGGGAGAGGGAGAGTTACGATAAGACGAGGACGAGGCCTCCCTGCCGGTCGGCGAAAAAGCTCGAAGGCCACGCAGGATAAAAGCAACTCAAATCAAAGAACTAATAGATATTGTCATAAACCAGTAGCAAGTTTATTTATCGAGCACACCGTGCAGATAGTTTTCTACACATACAAACACACAAATTCTATAATGACATGTATGCGACGGCGACGGCGTCATACAAAGTCTTCTCCCGGACCGGCAGCTGAAGGTCGGCCCCTCTGCATCTCTCGGGTTGAGGGCTTCCTCACGGGGGCCCGCCGTGAGGGCGAAGGGTTAACGGTGCAGGTCGGCTACATATTTAATGCCACTCGCTCAGCGAGGGCTGGCTTTATCCCCGGGCCCGGCCCTCCCAGGCCTCTCTCAAACTCCCAGATCTCTTCAGCATACTTCTCATATTAAAAGAAAACAAGTTACACAAATGAGACAGATGGTTCTTGTTTGTGATGACAGTTGCAATTCTTTCTCCTCCTCCTCCTCCTCCTCCAGACCCCCTTTCCTCTCGGCTTTTGCTCCGGTACCTCCGCCGCACTCTGCCCCGAGAAGGCCACGTTGCGCAACGCGAGCGGCGCGGCCATGAGAGAAAAAAAACAATAATACTTACTCAATGTGTGAATTCATCAGACACACAAAAAAAGCCCCCCCGAGACTTCAGGCAGGGGATGTTTAAGCAGCGGCAAAGGGGGGCTGTTGGTTGCCTTTGAAGAGGGAAGTTGGTGACCAACGGCTTCCTGTCTACGTCCCCGTGTGGGGGGGGGGGGGGGGGAGAGCAGCAACCAGGAACCAATGAGTCCTCCTAGAGCGTCCAACGTCTCGTACGCACGACCTCTGAACTCTCTGTCACTGTCTGATTGTGAAATCGTCAAATGCTGATCATTGATGTATTGCGAAGCGCAGCGAGAGGATCAAACTAGAACGTTCTTGGATTATGCGTCAGCGGGGAGCTTGAAGGGGAGGGGGGGGGGGGATTTCTGTCACAATCTTCCACCACCCGGACTTCTTCGTCCGGTAAACGCTCTCTGTTATTCCCGTCTATCCAAACAAACCCACTGAGCTTCATCTTTGCGGGTTTCCGAGCAGTCGTCCTGAGGTTACATCGTATCTGATCAGATAAGATCAGTCGGGACCAGTGAGAGTGACACACACACACACGCGCGCACACATGTGGTGGATCAGGCTGATGATGAGGGTTACCACAGCTTCATCCCTGGATGCTGGTATGGAGGATCACTGTGAGCTTACGTTAACTCCCCCCCCCACACACACAGACACACACATACACGCAGTAACACACTCGATGGTTACAGCTGTGTGTCACCAGGGAGATTCGGTCTGAACTGCAAAGAACTTTCCCTTAAACACCTGCTCACCTGCACACCTGGCAACGCGTGTGCATGTGCATGTGTGTGTGTGTGTGTGTGTGTAGCGATATTTCAGCAGAGAGGAATTCCCTTCGTTCAGCCCGCGTGATAATTAATAGCTGTCAGCGTCTCTTTAGCAGAAGGAGGCGCTGACAGACAAACGTCTGGACGCCTCGCGGAGGCTGGAGGGAGCCGAGGCGTCCAGGTGGAGACGTGCAACGGGCCTCCCAACCATCAGCAGACCCGGGACACGTCGCCCTCATTTGCTGCCTCTGAGGAATTCATGCACATCTGTGAAAGCAGCGTAGAAGCGATGGTGGTGCTGAGAGTGTGTGTGTGTGTGTGTGTGTGTGTGTGAGAGAGAGTGCATGATTAACACAGAGGTATAGCTGTTAGGTTCTCCTGTTGAAATACTTTAACCTATTGCAATGCTATGTTCTAATTCAGCTCGTGATATTAATTTCCTGTGATGACGATGGACTCATAAGTTTTTTTTTTTTACTGTACTGACAACGTGGGGCCCCTGAAAAACCAAAAGGTGCACATCTGGCCCTTTTGTCCATTTGTATTAATATAGCACGGCATCACCAGCCAGTTCGGATTTACATTTTTGTATTTACATTTACACTCATTTTCTGGCCCATTCTTCCATTGTGGGTTTGAACTAACATGCTAACACGTCCTTACTGTGAGGACAACACAGTGTCTCCCTGAGGACACCTGGTAGCTTGTGTTGTTGAGAGCGCGACTCATGGAGTGCAGGAAGGCTGAGCAGAGTCTGAGCGGACGGTTGAATCGCTTCTTCTCCGTTCGGCGTATTTTGTGGTTTATGGGTTGGTCGACATGCATCCAAACATGTCGTATATAGTACGTGCATGTGCACTGCAAGAGGATGTGACCCCTAAAGGAAAGGCTCTCGCTCTGCAGCAAGAGCAACCTTTTCATTACGCTTATTGCGTCTGCTAAAATTCTGCCAAGACATTGAGAGAACCGTGAGCCAGCTAAGAAAATGGAACTTATTCAAATCTAAAAAAAAATGATATGGACCTTCAGACACATTTTTATGTAAACGGTGTCTATCTTCAGTTTGGGTTTATGTTTTTAGATAACAAGCCATTACTCTGATGCATATATAGGTAACTTTGGGGAAACCTCAACAACACACTGCGATTTCAAGCACAATCATATCAACATGGGGTTGTTGTGCCACAGGGGGTAGAGCAGGTGTGCTGGGAACCGCAAGGTTGGCGGTTTGAGTCCCGGCTGCCCCATGTCTCAAGTCCCTGAGCAAGACACCTAACCCCTAATTTCTCCCCGGGCAAAATGTCGCTTTGGATAAAGGCGTCTGCTATATGACCTGTAATATGTATGTATAATGTAACATGGTGTCATTAAAAAGAGAACCTGTCCATTAGGCCATTCATCGTTGTCATGTTGTACTTTTAGAAATGGATCTTGATGGGGTTTTAGTCTTTTGTCTCATTTTAACATTTTCAATCCACGCGTACAAATGAACATCTACAGGCCAGAAGCAATACATCTGCTTTGGTGGATTATAGATATAAATATCAGCTTCTTTAAATATTGTTGGGATGCTAAGATGTGGGTGGAGGGCCCCCTCTGCTGGCTGCACATGCAATGACAGGTCGATCCAGATGTGATGGAAAGCAAGCGATTCCATGGAGGCAGTGGTGCCAAATTGCTCAATGATTAAACACTGTTCAAAAAGCAAAGCAGCACTTTGAAAACACTTCAATGTGAAAACAATATGTTGGATATCTACACCCATGTGGACGATGTAATGTCTTAGGTCTCACCCCTCTAGTGCTCCTGTTGTTGCAGCTGTAACTGATGAACCCCCCTGTGCCACTTACCCGACCAGAACATTACCAGAGACGTGCAATAGAATCTGTGCCCTCTGCGATAAACTAGTGTTCCTTTATGTCTTTTGAGCCGTGTAGCTGTGGTAAGTGGCTGTTTTCTTTGGTGGTCCCATCGTCAGCCACAATACACACGGAAGGACAAGTGAAAAGTGGTAAAGGCAATTAAGGTATAAGTTTAATTTTTTTTTTTTTTTAAAGAATGCATATACAAAGAACAAAGACTTTTCGACAGAGCATTTGGTTTTGCACCAAAACAACAACAACAGGTTATAATAATGATACTGACGTGGGCTGGAAATCGACCCAACTAAGCTGTTCAGTAAAGAAAAAAAACAAGAAACAAATCCTCTTTAAGAACAGTCTCTGCCTTTGGGGGGGGGGGGGGGGGGGGGGGTAAATCCACCCCATCAGAGCTTCATCTTGGTATAAACTGGCAGGGAAGAGTTTAGATGAGTTCCCACCCATAAATGTAAAAGGAGTGAAAGTAACCCATTTTTTTAATTATATATTTATATATATATTTATAAAATAAAATAAAAACAGCACAAAAAAAAAAAAAAGAACAAACAAAAAGAATGAACAAAAACAGAAAAAAACGTTTTGGTAAAAACACCTGGAGCCTACATCAACATTGTGTGCCAGCTTACATTATATTTAAATCTGTCACCCCATCGCCCGTAGCCGGCTGCATGCGGCACAACAGAACAACCACTCTCGCCCAGTTCACAGTTCTTGGGGGCGCGGGCTTGTGGGGCAGGGGGGGGCGGGGAGGGTAATTGGTCGGCTGTTTCACGATGATTTGGCTGTCTCTGTTGTACCTGTTCTAAGTGTGAGGTGGTGACAATGTTAAAAGCCGTCCTTGCGCCCCCCCCGCCCCCTCTCGACAAAGCAGCATGAGCACGCCGCTTGCTCCCATAACACTGTTTAAGTTCCCTGCATCTAAAAAGGCCCGATTCCTCGCAGTCGCCTACGTCTGAGCTCTTCGAGTGGTTACGGCGCTCCAGATGGACACTAGATGGCGATGTCTGTAAATTCAGCGCTGAGTGCAGTTTTGCTTGTTGCTGAGATCCTGTCAGACCTACGCAGGTTCCGTAGTGGTTAGGAGCATCTATCTGGAACCTGGAATAAATATCTCTGATGAGTTGTGTGTTGGAGGAGGGGGGGACAAGGAAAATAAAAGGAGGGGGGGGGTTGGCAAACCAGAAATAAAACACTACTTGTGTGTTCGCATTTATTCTGGCAGCTCTGGGACAGAAACATAGGGCTCAGCCAATGAGTGTGCTCGTCAGCTTGGGGGGGGGTCAAGTGTAGGAGGGGCTTAGGGCTATGGGCATCCAAAGGGTTCACGGGGCCACGGCACTGATGGAATGACCCCCCCCCCCCCCCCCCGCCCTTTCAAAAAGGATTGTACTTGTGTGTGTGCTGTGTATCTGGGTCCCGCCCCCCAGCACCCGCCGCCATGTCGGCTGAAGCTCCTTCTTTTATTGCAGAGATTTATCTGAAAACTTCTTTCCAGAAGCCGCTGACCAAACGCAGCAGAGGGACGGAAAGGGGGGGGGGGGGGGGGGGCGTGGCAGGGGAAGGGTATTTAAGTGTGTGAGTGTGTGTATTTAAGATGACTGTGTGTGCGGGTGTGTTTGCTTTAAAAGGTAGCACCCTCTCATAGCAGCACACATTTGCGTTTCTTCTTGGGTTCTGGGGGCTCCAGTGCGGCCAGTATCGCCTCATCAAACACATTCTTTAGGGCTTTCTGTGAACACAAACACACAAACACGGGCTCAATTAAAGGGGAACAATGCAAACACACACACACACACAGGTCAATCAGAGGGGCAGGGGCAGCTAAAACAGAAGGGGGGGGGGGGGGGATAACTAGGTGGGAACAAAATCAGCTGTGGACATCAAATATGTGCAGTTGGGGAGGAACAACAAAAGAAGTCAACAAATGTATAAATGATTGCATTAAATCAGGTCTGCGACAGACACACTGGGGAGGGTGCGCTGCCTTCCTGGAGACGTGGGGAGAGTAAAAGGCAAATCACGCGCATGCTGGGGTGCAAAGCGCAGCACATCCTGTGACGCGAGGAACCCAAAAGCCAAAGGGAAGGAAAGGGGAAGCGTGACCACAAGGACAACGGGGAAGTGAGTGTGTGTGTAAGGGGGGGGGGGGGGTGTGGGGGGTTCTCTCTCGCCGCCCTCCCCCGGCTCTCTAACCCTCCCCCGACGGCCCGCTCACAAAGACGCACGAACCCGAGGTACTGTGAGCTGCTTCCACCCACTCGGTTTGTGACCCAGAATGAATCCGCTCACAACGCAGCGGAAACACACAGAGCACAAGAGCAGAGCCGGTTCAGGTGTCCTTCATTCACTCACGTCACCGCTCGGTTCACAGTTAGAGCCTTTGTTCTTGGACACGTTTGTCATATGGAAAGAAAGCTCGGGTCAAACCAGTCAGGGAAAAGCATTTTTCTGCAGATTTAAAAAAAGTCTGTCCGTGTCGCTATCGACCGGAGCAGTAAGACAGCGCTGTCGTGGCAACAATTTATCCGCGGGGGGGAAGAGGTTATGTTATGTGATTATGAGACGGCAGCCTGGACAGCAAACAGCTGACAGCACCCTGACAGACAGCGTGGTCTTTAAAGCCCTTTGAATACACCGCTGATTGTAATTCAGCAGGTCACCGTGATGGAGAACAAATTGTTTTACCGCTTAAAAAGCCCTCAAAAGGAACAAAACAGCAGCCGGGTAATGTCGATGTGGCCAAACGCTCCACACACACCGGACGACGAGCCGCCGTCGCCACGACTCTAAAGTACAACTTTATCACTTACACTAAATCTACAGCAGCGTTAACAATGGTAGCTGTGTTTAGTGAGGAGATCAACCTCAGCGTGGAGCCACGTGAAGTCTCACACACACACACAATACTGAGGGGGCTGAATGAAACAATGGCCACATCCCAAATGACATCCTACATCCTCAGTAATATCCCGCTCCATAGGTTGGCCCGGGGCCGAAGGAACAAAGCTAGGAATCATACTGGTGAAGGCAGGTGTGGCTCGCTGGGGGCGAATCATATTTGCTCTAAAACAACTATCGACCTACAGATTGAAGCACAGCAGACGCTTTTACGCCGACGCCAGCAGACATCCTGGGGCATGGCTGCGTTCTCCTCTGGCCGTCCCACGTAGAGCACGCGCAGCCTGCACCCGATACTTTGCTCGTCTCTACGTCGAAGACTGGTGGTGTGTTTAAATCCCCCCCAGGTCAGATGTGACGTAGGCGAGTGACACCCACCAGACCAAAGTTCAGGGAAGGCAACGGGTGAAGTGACGATGAGGCCGTGAGAAGAACAGCACTCTGAAGTGGGCGACTGTGGCTCATCGGAGGCAACGACATCCTTCAATCAGAGGATCGGTGGTTCGATCCCCGGCCCCACTAGTGTCCATGTTGATGTGCCCTTGGGCAAGACACTTAAAACTAAATTTGCTCTCATAGCAGTGACTATGGCGCGCGAATGCTAGTTAAAGTCCTAACTGAACTGGAACAGGGTTTTACTAGTGGTCGCTTTCTAACATTATTTCAGTTGGTTAATTGGCCTTTTTAACAGTGGAGACTGGTCCATAAAAGCAGCACATGTAAATACATGGAGAGAGGAAAGGAGAGCCAATGTGAGAGATCGGGTGACTGAATGAAAAATGCCAGAAAGCAGCAGCCATTGTTGGGGTTTTAAGTAGAAGTGAATGTCTAGTCATAGAATTTGTAGTACGTGTAATGATGTTTAGTGATAGAATTGTAGTTTGTGTGATGTTAGATTAGTTATTACATTAACATGTTAGATGAAGTGAATACAATGTGAATCAAACGCAGTTTATAGTCTTTTAAAACGTAGAAACACACTACACATTTACATTCTGTTACAATGTGATGTTAAAACCTGGGAACGGATGCCAATTGCCGTTCTTTATGGATTTCTCCCAATTTTCTCCCCAAAAAGGGTTTTTTGGGAGTTTTTTCTCCTGTCAGGTAATAAAATGAACAACTTATTGCAAGGCAGCCGACTGAGGCAAATGTCTTGAGAATTGAACCACATGAACTGTTTTAGATCTTATGATGAAGTGTGAAGAACGAGGATCATTAATGATGGGTTGTTGTAATTAAAGTGTACTAGTTATAAGATGAAGACTTAAACGATGCATGCTTTGTTGGGTTCACTCATTGGGCATAAAGCCACTTTATCAGTATTGAGTGCATTGGAATGTGAGGGACAGCTAGGTCAGAGAGGTTTCAGGTTACGGCTGCAGCTTCACACCTCGACGTGGAAGGGACAATGGAGGAGGTGACCCTTTGGAGAAGAGGCCAATGACATTCAAATGCACCAAAGAAGACACACCTCAAGAGTTTTCAAAGGACCAAAGCGGGGAAAAGACTGTTAGATCTTCTCCTGCAGCCGCGTTGATAAGTCACTTTAGACTTGCTCAGAGAATTCTCTATTTCGCGAAATATTCCACTGTTCGCTTAGTATTTCACTTTGTAATTGTAATCCCTATTATGTTGTTTAGTCATTAAATACTTTTTGATTTTTGAATTTAAACGATTTGACTCATTCGTGTCCTCGTCTCGGCCGGGACGAGAACAAAGGATTGGGCCTCCCTCGAGAGCTTCCGCAACCCTTAACAGTTGGCGCCCAACGTGGGGCTCTCGTTTGGGGGAAGGTGTTGCTGAAAGGTCCGACTGCAAGTACCACAGGGGTACCAACAATCACAAGGTAAAACAGAACCTTTTTTATAGAATCTGTGATAGGTAGACTTAGGAAAATTTAGAGTGGTGCTGGCAGTCGGCCATGAGGCAAGGCCTTAGATGCTAAAGGCTAAAGGCTAGTGCATTGATGACTTGGGTGAATATAATAAACTGATATTGAATAACAGTGGGGACATACTTTTGCAAAGTGAATGCGAATGGGAGCCGGCTTTTAGAAATTCCAAACACGCGCGTTTGGTGCGTTCAGGTACACACTTAGAGCGTTAGAAAAATCCAGGCGGCGAACTGGTCTGCTGAGACATAAAGACCAGCAGGATAAAATCATAGAAGTAGACCCGTACGGGATTGGTTAGGGGGTTCGCATGAGGTGTGACGATGCGCATGTTGTCCACTAGGTTTCCCACAATAATTACGGCGTCTTTAGAGAAGACTCTTCTCTTCATTTCCCCTCTCTGTGCATAAAGTCCTTCACAATTAGGTATTGCAGGATTTAATAGATTGGGGGGGGGGAGCTTGCTCTACGGGATTGGTTTACGCGAAAATCCAGCGGCGACTGGTTGAGTTTATGGTTAAAGGTAAAAGTAATCCAGCGGCGACTGGTTAAGTAATCCAGCGGCGACTGGTTAAGGTAATCCAGCGGCGACTGGTGGAGGTTATAGTAAAGGAGAAATCCAGCGGCGACTGGTAAGATCTGCTTAACATTTTCCACCCTCTAGAAATCCTATGAATTAGGTATATAGGTTGTCTAGAAGGGGGTGGGTGGCGGATATGCGCTTTAGTGTAAATGATAGTGTATATACATCTGCATGTGGTGTGAGTGTGAGTGAGTGTTAGTACGTGGTGCGTGAGTGTTGGAGTTGCGGGGTGCATGTGCTTGATTGATGTATGGATGTTCCAAATTATGTTTTAATACGCGTATGTGATTGTTTAACAGTGTATATATATGTATAGAATCCGAACTGGAGACTGATCATCTCCGGCGTCGGGTTGTAAAACCGTAGCATATTAAGGTGTTGGTGAGTAGTCCAACCCGGACCACGTGAGGCTGCATTGCTAGCGGCTAACGGGGTCTCATTGGTAATTCCACTGGGGAAATAGCGGGGCTAGCGGGGTGCTGATAGCTTGACCACGTTGTGGGTTAGCAGTTAGCTTGAGCCCATTGTTCTTCGCTACGCCAGCACACGGCGTTTTACGATCCATGACCGGAAGTGTCGAGGCACTTCCTCTTTGGTAGTTCTGTGTTCGATCTTCAGCTATCGGCTGAACAGCGCCTCGTGTGGTTGGAGTAAGTGCACATCGTGAGGGGAAAGCCCCTGAGTGTGCCATCTGGTGGGTGTAAGAGGGAATTACAAGAGGGGGAGTTCAATTTCTTCACTTGCCGTGTTCGGACGTTGGCTTTGATACACATTTGCCTTTGCTTACTAGGATAGAGTTAAGATCGATAAGATAACTTGACGGATATCTGGTTTGGTGTTGACGTTTAATTAAAATAGTAAAGTGCTGTATTGTTACGTTGAATTTGGTTTGTAATAGTCCTGCATTTGTTTTGGATTGAAATTGGAGATTGAGCTAATTTTGATGTGGCGCTATTGTGGACCTGTTATGAATTGTTTGATTTCGATCCCTAATGTTTGACTGATTCCGGATTGACTGTTTTTGGATTGTCTCTGGGTTAGGGGTGGATCATTGTTTATATTGCAGGATAATCTCTTGCAGCATTTGTGGGGTAGTGCTTCTGCTCTACTTCCTGATTACTATTGCCGGCAGTTTGACTGTATCATCATAACTTTGATTAATTTTGTAACTTTGATTAATAATTTGGATTAATTCATTTTTAGGCATCAAGTTTAATTTTATTAAAGTTTAATTTTTGACTTTTGAATTCTGAATTAAGATTGAATTTTGATTTGAAATAAAGTTAATTTTCCTCTTTTTCCTCTGTTTAATTGTAACCATAGTCTTCGGGCATTGACCATTGATTATACTCGTTTATACAGTTTTCGTGATTGATTTGATTTTTTGGTGAGAGGTACTGATAAGTTGATTTAACTTAGTGATCTAACAGGATAATTTTAGTAATTACACAGCAGTTATTGGACTGATTTGATGTTGTAAATTGCCCTCCTTACTTTTTAGATTTGGATATTTGTTTTTACTGTGTCGATTCCAGTTGATAGTTTAATTTGACATTTCCTCGGACAGTTGTTAGGGGTGACTTAGTTTGGGTTTTTTCTTGCATTTAGTGACAGAGTAACATCTAGGACAGAAGGGACAGCTTAGCGGTTGATTGGAGTGTTTCAGGTTGTAAGATGGCTACGCTTACGACTCAAGAATTGCTGGGTAGGGCCAGAGAGCGGATGGAGGATCAGATGGAGCCTGGAGAGAGAGAGAGGGAGTGGAGTAGGATGCAGCGGTATTTGAAGAGATGGCAGGAGAAGGGATGGTTTCCCACGGTGTCGCCACCAGCAGTTGAAGACAGGCGTAAGGTGTGGAGGGAGACTGTAAAAGCGAAAAATCAAGCCACTACGGCTTATATAGGAGCAGGCCGTGTGGGTAGAATGAGTAGAAGAAAAACTCTAGACAAAGAGGAGAAGAGGTGTGCCCGCACCAAGCGGCTGCTTGCCTATTGGAAGGCAGTCGACCCCACCACCCCTAAATCTGCTGTGGGACTCCCAGAGGAGGAGGATGAAGAAGTAAAAAGCAAGCCCAGTCAACCCACCACCCCCCTCAGTCCCAGCTCCCATACCGTCCCTCGACTGTACCCAGGCGTGGAGCCAGCTCCTCAGGAGAGGCCAAGTCTTCCGCCGCCGTATAAGAAAACAACCTCCAAAATTCCCCTGGTGAAGCCGAGTATTCAAGCACCTGTGTACCGCGTGAGAGGAGGAACGGTGGACGTGGAAAGTGACGAAGAAGACTTGGGAGGTAGGTACTTCACAGGTGCGAAAACGATGCACACGCTGGATGAAGTAAGAGGAGAAGAGGAGGAAAGCTGTTCTGACCACGCAGATTCACAAAACCAGGGCGAAGAGGAGGACCTGATTGTGACAAGTGGACTCCTGCATGTCACAACAAGTGGATCTAGAGCCCGAAAAGATGGCAGCAGAGAAGAAGGTGCTGTGGGAGGACATCCTCCCCGTAGACGCTCTACTAGGACAAAGACGACTCCACACCGCTATGCAGACTACATTCTCCCGGTAAGAAGTGAGCTGCCTGCAGCCTCCCCTGTCACACAGTGTCCACTTCTGAGAAAAGCCAACGGTCAGAGAGAGTTTGTGCCCTGGGGCCATCGGGACATGGAAGCTCTGGAGAAGGCGTTGCCGCCATTGGGAGAAGGAGCTAACCCATGGATCTTGACCTTTGAAACACAAACGACGGCAGATAAATTGGCGCTTGGTGATGTGCGAGCTTTAGTAGCCCGTCTGGAGGGAACTGTCAATTTGAGAGCCTTGGAAGTAAGATCAGGCACAACAGACTTAGAAGATGATGATCCATTCGACGGTCACAGAGGAGCTTTCTGGGAAGCGATGCGAACGGTTTGGCCCACAAAGATGAGCATGACAGTCCTAGCCACATTGGAGATGAAGCCCGGCGAGGAGATTTTCCAGTATGTGCGGAGAGCCGAAACAGAATGGCGCCTGGCGACAGGTGAAAGACATGACAACAACAGACCTACCGCTGTGATCTGGCGGCACACGGTGCAGCAAGGCTTGCCCGAGGCTGTACAGACAGCACTAGAGGGAGTAGTGGGACTGGACAACATGGACGACACCACCTGGAAGGATCATCTGACCCACTTCTATAAGATACATCGAGCTGCGGAGAAAAAGAGTAAGGAAGAAGTAGACAAAATGGCGCAGCGGCTAGTAAAGGTTCAACTGGCCGGTGTAGACGATGAAGCAAATAGGAAAAAGCGAGCTAAAAAACAATTGCCGGTGAGTGATGAACAGCCCCAATACGCTGTTCCTCCTGAAGTCACATATCCAGCTGCAGGGCCAGCAGTGAGAAACCAATGGAGAGGATATCAGCAGCCACAGTACAACAGAGGCAGAGGCAGAGGGCGTGAGTACAACAGAGGGAGTGGATACTACCAAGGAGGAAATGGGAGTGATGCTTGTCATATATGTGGGCAGGTGGGACATTGGGCAAGAACATGTCCAGTGAAATATGAAGGGAACCCACGGTTCATTGCTCCTCCAGGTAGGTTTCCCTACCCAATGCAGCCCAGGCAGCCGCAGGGGATGGGCCCACCCCAGCCTCCACCTCCACAAATGCAGCCACCACAACAACAGATGTCACTTGTGTCAAGGGAAATAGAGTATGGTGCCGACCAATACGGTCAGTACTGACGAAGCCCAGAAGATCCAGAAGCATGTGTGGTTTACAGGACTCAGGCAGAACCAATGGTGACCTGTACTGTGTCTGGAGTTGAAGTTGAGATGATGGTGGACTCCGGCGCAGCAGCCTCATGCTTACGTAACCTAAATGGGAAGGTGCCCCCACTCTCAGAGAAAACACTGAGAACGGTTGGATATTCGGGAAAGAAAGAGGTACAACGATACACAAAACCATTGGAGACCATATTGGGAAGACAACGCCTGTTCCACCAGTTCCTGTATTCCCCTAAATGTCCTGTCAACTTGATGGGGAGAGATCTAATGACAAAAGTTGGAGCGGAAATCAGGTGTTCAGCTGATGGCCTCAGAATCACGTTTAAAGGCCAACCACTCACTCCACAGTTTACGTCAGGAGAAAGGATTCTCTTGATGATAAGCCCAGAGGAAACGGAAGAAAAGACACAAGTTTTCTGGACTAGGCTGTTACCGGGATACAAAGAACAGCCGTCAATCAATAGAACATATCAAGACTGGAAGCCATGGATCAATAGCCAAGGAGCATATGGTCCACCAATTGATCCACCCCATTGCACATATAATTACCTGAGAACACCTGATGAAGAGTACACAGAGGCCTGGGAGCAAGAGAGAGAAGGCGTTCAGGAGCCGATTAGGGTCACTGACATTTATGTGGGCACGGAGGGAGTTGCAGCACACTGTGAGCTCACCGAAACTCAAGCACAGTGGTATGAGCTAAGTCATGACAGTGAACCTCATGTGACGCTGGCGATAGCAGCAGGTCATGAGGCTCGCTCCCTGGGGCCAATGATGAAGAGGGCAAAAAAAGTAACATCCTGGTGTCCAACAGACTCCCCACTGCTTCATTACAGCCCTGACAAAACATTGTGGAGAATAGCACATTGCAGCAGAGAAAACAGCATACTGGAGAAGCAAGAGCTGGAACGACAGCATGGGAGAGAGTTGTCTGATCATCCAGCAGCAGAGGAGCTGCTCAACCAAATGCCAGAACACCTATGGGCGAAAGGAGATTGGGATGTCGGCTGCACTCATCATCATTCAGTGCATGTTGAAAAGAATGCAGGTCAGCCCCCTGTATGGAAGCCGCAGTACCGACTGAAAGAGGACGCTGTGGAAGGAATATCAGCCACTATCGCTGGCCTACTGGAAGCAGGAGTGCTACGACCAGCGGAGTCTCACTGGAACACGCCCATACTCCCTGTACCCAAAGCTGGAGGAAGAGGATGGAGAATGGTGCATGACCTAAGAGCAGTAAATCAAGCCACGAAGACGAAAGGCATTGCAGTACCAAACCCTTATGTAGCATTACAAACGATAAGCCCAGAACACCAATACTTCACTGTATTAGATTTAGCGAACGCATTCTTTTGCCTGCCACTTCATCCCTCAAGTCAAGACATGTTTGCATTTACATTCCAGGGAGAGAGATTCACTTACAACAGAATGCCTCAGGGATACAAAGATAGTCCCGGCTTATTTAATGCAGCATTGAAGGAAGATTTGAAAGACCTTCTGCTACCACAAGGAGTAGTTTTAATACAGTACGTAGATGACTTGTTGTTGGCAGCTCCCTCAGCGGAGAGCTGCTTAGCAGCAACTGAAGCGGTGTTGAAGAAAATAGCGGAATGCGGCTACAAGGTCAAGAGAGAAAAGACACAAATTGCAAGACGACAAGTATCATTCCTGGGAAGAGTGCTATCTGGGAACAAGAAGAAGATCTCACCAGAGCAGAAATCTGCAGCTTTGACCTATGCCAAACCCAAAACCGTTCAAGAGATGCTTGGATTTCTGGGACTTACTGGCTACAGCCGGAACTACGTGCCAGACTATGTGAATCTCACCCAGCCACTCCGAAATATGCTGGCAAAAGTTGGAAACAGGAATCTGAAGGCAGAGCTGATCTGGACTGTGGAAGGAGAAGAAGCTTTCATTCAAACTAAGCAAAGTTTGGCCCATGCAGCTGCTTTAGCTTCCCCAGATTATGAATCAGATTTCCACTTAGATGTAGGAGAAAAACAGGGGGTAGTAAATGCAGTGTTGTATCAGATGAGGAGAGAGGGGAGAGCGGTTTTGGCTTATCACAGTTCTAAATTAGATCCCATAGAACTAGGACAAGTAGGCTGCACCAGACATTTGGCAGCAATAGCTCGAGCGGTACAGAAGACTGCATACTTGGTAATGTGTCATCCTTTGAAGGTCCACACAGACCACGGTGTTGTAGCGTATCTAGACACACAAGCTTTCACTTTGACAGCTATGAGAGGGGCTAGGATATCTGGGATATTGACCCAGCCCCATCTCTCTTTCACATCAGAAGGTGTGAATATGACATCTGGATTGCCACCTACTGAGGGTGGTCATGACTGTGCAGAAGTAGCTAGGAAGGAGACAAAGGTAAGATCAGACTTGGGAGGTGACAGATTGCAGGATGCAGATATGACACTTTTCTGTGATGGTTGTTGTTATAGGGGTCCAACAGGGAACATAGCTTCATATGCAGTGGTGGAACGGCTTCCTGATGGAACCTTGGTGGAGTTAGAGGCGGCTGTTATTCCGCAGCCTGCTTCGGCTCAGTTAGCAGAAGTGGTGGCACTGACGCGAGCACTTCAATTAGCCGTGGGGAAGAAGGTAAACGTTTACACTGATTCGGCTTACGCCCACGGTGCAGTGCATGTGGATGGACCTCAGTGGCTGAGAAGAGGGTTTATGACCAGTTCGGGAGCTTTGGTGAAGCATCATGCTGCATTGAAGGATCTGTTGGATTCTGTGATGGGGCCAACACAAGTTTCAGTGATAAAGTGCAGAGGCCACTCCAAGGAGGGTGGGCTGGAAGCTAAAGGTAACGACGCTGCCGACCTCGCAGCTAAGAAGGCTGGTGGATATATTGGCGGTGAAAAGCAGATGTTGGTAAGTGATCAGAGTGAGCCGCAGCCTGCCCCGACGGAGAGTGACCTGATAGTGATGCAAAAGAAGGCTGGAGTGTATGAACACTCTCAGTGGGTGGCTCATGGAGCAACCTGCAAAGATGGTTTGTGGAGGTCTCATGATGGACGGATAGTAGCTCCTTCTGAGCTAATGCACATGTTGATGATCGAAGCGCATGGTCCGACGCATGAGTCTAAAAAGCGAACATGTGCAGCACTGGAGAAGATTTGGTGGCATCCGTTTGCCAAAGAGATGGTGGAAAACTTTGTTACAGACTGTGTATCCTGTAATGGCTTTAACAACAAACCTGTATATAGGTGTCCGATGGGGAGGTACCCGGTGCCCCCTGCCCCATTTCAGGAGATTTGCATTGATTACACAGATATGGGAATGGATAACAGAGTGCGCGGGCTACGTTACATGTTGGTGATGGTGGATCGGTTTTCACGGTGGGTAGAAGCAATTCCTTGCCGGAAGGAAGATGGTGCTACAGTGGTGAAGTGGCTCAAGAATGAGCTGATTCCCAGGTATGGGTTACCAAAAGTTATTCACTCGGACAACGGTTCACACTTTACGAATGTACACCTAGCTGGTGTCGAAAAGTGTTTAGGAATCCAACACAGGTATGGTTCAGTTTATCATCCAGGGTCACAGGGGATTGTGGAGCGAGCCAATCAAACGCTCAAGAGGAAAATTGCTAAGATCTGTCACGGCACGTCCCTAAAATGGCCTGACGCCCTTCCATTGGCATTGATGTCTATGAGAAACACTGAGCACAATAGCACTCATTTAACACCACATGAAATACTCACTGGGCGACCTATGTCAGGTCCGCCGAGGTCCAGTAGCCATGGACCTAGTCTGGATTTGCTGAAACTAGAGATTGAAGAGTATACTAGAGCGCTAAGTAAGATGTGCCAAGCTTTGTTTTCACAGGTGACGAACGCAGAGACAGCCGCCAGCCAAGGGAAGCAGGTTCCAGTCATACCGCCAGGAAGCTGGGTGTGGATTAAGGCTCATAAACGCAAGTGGAGTGATCCAAGGTGGACCGGTCCATGGGAGGTAGTATTGGCAACATCACACTCGGTAAAGGTGAAAGGTAAAGCGGGAGCCACTTGGCATCATCTCACACATTGTGCACCTGCTAAGGCACCAAGCCAGACCCTTGCGGAGACCCGATTAAATACCAGGCAAGTTAATTCAGAGCCAAAAGACGCAGGAGGGGACAAAGCAGCAGAAAATGTCTCGCCCACAGCGTAAGTATCAGTTAGTGGGGGGAACATGCAAGTCAGTGTTCATTGTCTATTTAATTTCTTTGGTAGTAGGGGGTTCAAGTACAGCTCGGGGAAGTGCAGCTGTTCACACAGGTGATGATGACAAGACGTCTGTAAGTGATCTATCCAATCCCAGTCGACAAGATGTTTCCTTACCACCTAACATCCAAGCAGCGATTGCTCTCACGTTGACATTCAAGGAAAATATAACTGCATCTGTTCAATTTGATTATTGTGATATTGCAGCCTGCGGTGTCCAAGACCTCAGGTTTTGGAGGTCGGACCAATACTTGTGTTCCACCACCAACCAATGTGGACCAGGAGTCAGGTTTGGTAAGCCAGTGGAGCAGTACGGCTGTGACTGCGAGGAGGCAGAATGGAAGTTCGCACACACTGGTAGATGGAAGTCATCTAAAACTGGTCCTAAACCTGGGCTACAGACCCGTTTAACGATGCGGAAAAACCGGTATCCAGATTTGGCTAAATGTGGGGGAGGGTTGTGCAATCCACTAATAATCACATTGAAAAATCCAGAATTGGGGGACAGTGGACTATACGTGTTGAAAGGAGGGACATATGATATTGAAAGCCCACAAGGGTTGTTTAAGATTGTTGTTAAACCCTCTGCTAACAAACAGGAATCCACTGCTGATCAGGATGGAGCTGAAACTGACACTTCTTGGGAAGGTGTGGTAAGACGGGAAACTGGATTCTCGGAGTCTAATCTATGGCTCCAATGGGTACAGTATACTGCCACAAACATGCACAGTACAGATTGTATAGTGTGTTCTCAACCTAGGCCTATGCCCACTCCTGTACGTTCCAGATTCAGACCAATAAGCCCTATATTCAAATGTATACTGGAGCTCTTTGTCCTGCAGACTCAGCCTGTCCACCATACTTGTTTAGAGTTCCAATGGGATTATCCGCCAGCTACCTTGAGCACGCCACCTCAATTTATGGTTCCAGATGGTACATTTGATTGCATAGTATCGGAGATAGCGGGAGGGATAAAAGTAGGTGACATCGCAGGAGTAAACTGTACCACAGTTCAGTTTGCTAATGTCACTCGATATTCAAGTGTGTTGAATCAGACGATTTCCAGAGCCGATCTCTGGTGGTGGTGTGGAACTAAGGTTATTTATCCAACGCTGCCAGCTAATTGGACGGGTACTTGTGCATTAGTGCAGCTTATCATGCCATTCTATGTCTTTCCAGTGAAGGAGACCACATTTCAAGACTTGATTTCACCACATCCTCACGTCGCCAGGAGAGCGAAGAGATCCACTAGTCCTGCGGGCTCATTTGATAGTCATGTGTACTTAGATGCCATTGGGGTGCCCAGAGGGGTGCCTGATGAGTTTAAAGCCAGGAATCAAATTGCGAGCGGCATAGAATCCTTTTTCTTCTGGTGGGTGACAATCAATAAAAATGTAGACTGGATTAATTACATATACTACAACCAGCAGCGATTCATAAATTTCACCCGGGATGCCATAACAGGGCTCCACGAGCAGTTGGATAAGACTAGTTTGATGGCATGGCAAAATAGAATGGCACTGGACATGATCTTGGCAGAGAAGGGAGGAGTCTGTAGAATGTTTGGATCTGCCTGTTGTACTTTCATCCCCAATAATACAGCGCCTGACGGATCGGTGTCCAAAGCACTGGCGGGATTGACAGCTCTGAGCCAGGAGCTGGGAGAGAATTCAGGGATTGCAGATCCATTCACCACGTGGATGGATGGTATGTTTGGTAAATGGAAAAATGCAATCTTGTCCATTTTAACTACTCTTTGTGTTCTCACCATGATTCTAGTGCTCTGCGGTTGCTGCTGCATTCCCTGCATTCGAGGACTCCTGCAGAGATTGATTGACACTGCCCTTAGAGAGACTAGCATACAGGGAAATCAATTGCAACTAGATGCTGAAGAAGGACAGTCACTGTTGGCGGATACGTCCGTGTGATGTTGGGTCGAGGGGTTATTCAAGTGATGCTCACAGTGAACTGTGAGCAAGGAGGGAATTGTTGGGGTTTTAAGTAGAAGTGAATGTCTAGTCATAGAATTTGTAGTACGTGTAATGATGTTTAGTGATAGAATTGTAGTTTGTGTGATGTTAGATTAGTTATTACATTAACATGTTAGATGAAGTGAATACAATGTGAATCAAACGCAGTTTATAGTCTTTTAAAACGTAGAAACACACTACACATTTACATTCTGTTACAATGTGATGTTAAAACCTGGGAACGGATGCCAATTGCCGTTCTTTATGGATTTCTCCCAATTTTCTCCCCAAAAAGGGTTTTTTGGGAGTTTTTTCTCCTGTCAGGTAATAAAATGAACAACTTATTGCAAGGCAGCCGACTGAGGCAAATGTCTTGCGAATTGAACCACATGAACTGTTTTAGATCTTATGATGAAGTGTGAAGAACGAGGATCATTAATGATGGGTTGTTGTAATTAAAGTGTACTAGTTATAAGATGAAGACTTAAACGATGCATGCTTTGTTGGGTTCACTCATTGGGCATAAAGCCACTTTATCAGTATTGAGTGCATTGGAATGTGAGGGACAGCTAGGTCAGAGAGGTTTCAGGTTACGGCTGCAGCTTCACACCTCGACGTGGAAGGGACAATGGAGGAGGTGACCCTTTGGAGAAGAGGCCAATGACATTCAAATGCACCAAAGAAGACACACCTCAAGAGTTTTCAAAGGACCAAAGCGGGGAAAAGACTGTTAGATCTTCTCCTGCAGCCGCGTTGATAAGTCACTTTAGACTTGCTCAGAGAATTCTCTATTTCGCGAAATATTCCACTGTTCGCTTAGTATTTCACTTTGTAATTGTAATCCCTATTATGTTGTTTAGTCATTAAATACTTTTTGATTTTTGAATTTAAACGATTTGACTCATTCGTGTCCTCGTCTCGGCCGGGACGAGAACAAAGGATTGGGCCTCCCTCGAGAGCTTCCGCAACCCTTAACACCATCACAGGTGGAGGAGGAGGAGGAGATTAGAATAGACAGCATTTCCTCTTTGTCTGCGTCTCAGGAGGCTCGAGGGCAGCTAGGATAGCTTCATCAAACACATTCTTCAGCCCTCGCTACGTTGGTGGGAGAGGGAAGAGAACAACAGCAGTTAGCATAGCAAACACAGACAGGCAGACGGGACAAGAGGAGGAGGAAAATGTTAGTGTGTAATGCAAAGAGACGGCAGTAAAGAGCTCAACGAGAGACGGAGAGTCGTTGATCCCTCACAGGAAACGGGAAATGACATCAGCAGCTATGCAGCAATGAAGGGGAGCGCAGGGGGAGCGAGGAAGGAAGGGGCGGAGGGGTCGGGGCACCAGCTCGACTCCATCAACACTATTGTTCTCTGCCTGAGTGAAGCACGAGCTCTTCTGTTACAATGATTTAATCAATCAGTACTAAGAACCCCAACGCTAATGCTAATTCATGTGGTCTTAACTGCTTCCAACAGCATGTAATTCATAAGAGCTGGTGACCTGCCGGACATTCAAACTGCCACGCTAACGTTACATGAACATATTAAACATTAAAACTACGCATGTTTACGATAGCCGTTAACGTTCGGCTTAAAGGCAAAATGTTCCCACACCGGACGATTCAAAACCAAGTCAATTTGGACTTGTTTATCTCAAGTGGCTCGGCTGTAGATGTCACGAAAAATAACTAAGTTAACGCGCTCACTTTTTGGCCCATATGCTTCATTTTTACGTGCACTATTGGGGTCTCGCGTTTCCAATGGATGGATTCCAATCAAAAGTTTGCCTGCAGAGTCTCTAAAAAACATCCACAGGACGAAAAGACCGGAGGGAAAAGGATTTTAAAGAAAGTCCAGTTCACATACAGTAACCAGGACGCCATAACCATACGACATGTGTGTGTGTGTGAGACAGCACGTATTCATGTATGTTACCTGCGTGAGGGCTGAGCACTCCACGTATTTCACAGCCTTCAGGTCTCTTGCCAGTTTCTCGGCGGTCTCCGGAGTGATGGGCTTCTGCTTGTTCTTGGCCAGCTTCTCTATGGTGGAGGGGTCATCCCGCAAGTCAATCTGAGTCCCGACGAGCAGGAACGGGGTCTTTGGACAGTGGTGGGTGATCTCTGGAACCCACTGGACACACAAACACAAGGTCAAGGCACCGGCCAATCACACTGAAGGGGGTGGGGGGGGTCATTAAGTCCAACAAGAAATCCAGGAAAAGGAAGGATTCCACTTGCCTTTTCTTTGACATTTTCAAAGGAGGAGGGGGACACGACGGAGAAGCAGACGAGGAAGACGTCTGTCTGCGGGTAACTCAGAGGCCGTAGCCTGTCGTAGTCCTCCTGACCTGCAGAAACCACATGCGTGCACTACAGTTAGTACCATCTCTATCAAACACGGTGTCCATTCAGTCACAGGGTCAGAACTCGGCACAGTGTTGGAATAGAAGGCGCATACCTGCTGTATCAAACAAGCCCAGAGTGTAGGGCTCGCCTCCGATCATCACCGTGACGGCATAGTTATCAAACACCTGCAGCGCAGAGCAGAAACAACATTGGATCAGGTTTGAGGTTAGGCTGCACTAAACTAGTCCAGATAGCCGCATTCAGGAAGGAACCGTGCCCACGCAGCAGCAGGTCATAAACCTTAACACGAATCTTAACCAACATCAGCTAACATTAGCAAAATGAAAATCCACTGACTGATTAATTTGATCACGCAGACTTACCGTAGGTACGTATTCAGAAGGGAACTTGTTTGTGGTGTAGGAGATGAGCAGGCAGGTTTTACCCACCGCGCCGTCCCCGACTACAACACACTTGATGGTCTGCATGGCTTCGTTTTACAGTCGTCTACTCATTCAAGATCTGGAGGAGAACAAAGAGGAGGAACCGTCAGCAGTGGATGGCTCTGCTTATGGGACATAACATGTGATGTTAGCTTAGAGCTAACGGTTGCTATGGAAGCTGCGCACTATCCCTGTTAAATAGATATGTTGGTTTTAAAAACTGTACAAACTACAGCCTAATCATCGCATCGCCGATTATTGCTCCTCTTGTTTGAAAAGATTTGTATTTCAATAGAGTTGCATTCAGTTTAACCGTGCCACTCGTTTTTTGGGGACCAATAAGCAGCTGCATTGGACAGCGTGGACTTTTTATGTCAGCAGGACACACACACACACGGTGTTCTGGTGGCGACCTTGGAAGGCTCAGCACCATGGCATCTCAGGGGGGCGGGGGGGGGGCGTCACAGACAAAAAAACAACTCCGGCGATCCGTTATGTTCTCGTACATCAGAAACGTCCTGCTTGAGTGACAGAGAATGTGCTTATTATTGAACCTTATTCTCTCGTCGCCATGACATGGTCTCTACGTGGCCTTGGCCACCACTAACAAGCACCTCCTACAGACCCCAGAATGAGGGGCCACACATTCAGACTTATGGTGGTACTGAAGGAATTACCGATGCCTTTGTTCTTGTGTCGGCTTATGGGCTGCTGGACAGACGAACAGGTTATCTGACAACCAGTTGGAAAAAGACATTTTCCGTTATTTTTAAACAATGACTCGTCCAGAAAACAATCTGCACATGTATGTGTTTTTAATCACGCTCAGATGCCATCAATGTAAAAGGTCTACAAAGCGAGTGAAACACAAACGACGTGCTGCATCGTGATGCATTGTGCATTTGTGGACAAGCAAGTAAGGAGCACAAGCAGCACAGCATTCCCCCGTTTGTCCTCCGCGGCGTACAGTACGTCAGTACCAAGCCACTGCAGAACTCTGCAGCACCGGGGAGGCACTGAATGAAGCTGTAACGGTTCAACTCAGCACAGGGAATACACCGATACGGATTTCTTCAGCCCACATGATAAGCTGTTAATATGCGTTAGATAGGCCTTCACGTGCATCCGATTTGTCCCAGTATTGTCCTGGTGGGAGCCAGGAGAGGAAGCGCAGCTCTTTTCTGAAATGAGGTCATGGCTCCAGACTGCTTTCAAAATGGTTGCATGTTTCCAATGCTGCGAACGGATAACAATACAATTTCCCTACATAAACGTGTTCCTTATCAACCACAAGGCCAAAGCGAAACTGTATCAAATAACTGATGAAGAAATGCAACGGATCCCTGCACATGACGTTGGGGTGGAATACTAAACAAGAAAAGTGGGATTAAAGCGTGCAGCTGCTTCTGGTAACGGCGGACTAAATGATTGCGCTTATGCTCGAGACGGAGACGCAGACCCAACAGCTCGCGACCTTCACTAAAGGGTGGCTTCTCTACTTTTTAGGACACACTTTCCACTCACGTAGACTAAACCTTGCAGTGAGGGAAGAAGAAAACACACGTGACAAGGTTAGAGCCCACCGCTAGACAAAACCTGTACATCTGCAAAGTGCACTTTGATACCAACAAAAGCTCTCAATAAATGAAATACCCCACGTGCAAAGGATCAGACACAGGACGTGTAACATCGCCTGTCACAGTAAAGGCTTTGTTTGCATCCAAACAATGAGCAGTTATGGGTGAGCTCCATGGCAACCAACTGTGACGGGACGTTCTGCAGGACCGGACGGACCTCTGATGCAGGAAGCCCTGAACCTTTCTGTGTGCAGTGCTGGAAACCGCGCCACAGGCAGTGATCACAAGGCCCGTGTGAGTTCAAATCGCCCCTGCAATCATGCGGGTGCGTGGCGATGACCATCGTGCATGACCATTGATAACCCATGCGGGAGGGCAGACATCGCCTCCTGCCTGCTCAATCCTTGCCTCCTTTCTTTTCCAAGTCTTAGCTCCGCTTCTTTTTTTGTTCTGATTTGTGGACTTTGGTTTGATTGGGGATTTCTATGCAAGTACTTTGAGAGCAGAAGAATCAGACTTGAATTCATTGAATGTGTTCATGGCCAATTGAGAGGATTCTGATTGGCTTTCTAAAAATGCTGATTGACTACACGGCTCCAGGGCATCTCTGCTCAATAATCTACTCCAGTTAAAAAAAAACATTACAAGGAGAAGTCCTGCATCCAAGAACTTACTGAAGTATAAAATGTAGTATATAAACAGGAAAAAGAAGGCCTACGTCCATTGCACTGTGCAGCAACATGGGCTCTTTATAAAAAACGTCAATATTAAAATACCAATGTTGGGTAGTAATAACATCCAATGTTGTGTTGTTCATACTATATAAATACGTTTTGGCTGTGGAAAGTGAATAATAGGGAACAAAAGAAACTTTTGTTAGATCAGATACTGAATTGTAATCACAATATTCATCACAAATAAATGGTTTCATTCAGCCTGAGGAGGGGCTGCGGAAGTGTCGCGTAAACGTCTTACAATCAAAGTTTGCAATTACAAAAAGTGCATCCAAAACGTCCAGCTGCAAAGCTGTATATTACATTGGTTTTAACCACCGAACCTCAGTGGGCCGGGTATTCAGATGACGTTCATCTTTCCAACATACAACAAAATAAAAATCTATGCCTCAAGCACCGACTAAACCAAAAACCTTGGCATTGTGTGGAGGAATCCTTTTAACTCCTCTCTGTTACAGCCACACAACGGTGTGTGAACTGAAATGTTCCATGGCCCTGCAGGCCTCAGGTGTTAATTGAACAATATAGTTCGGAATCCTTTATCAAACCCAAGCCGTGAGACGATGCCCACTGGCAACACATCTGCAATAATACTATTCTGCAATAATAATATACTTAATCCACGCATTTGTAGGCCAGTAAGCACCGACGGCGGCCGGCTTAAAGGGTAGTGGTGAAAGCACCTGAAAAAGGGTTTGACATGATGTTTTCACAACAACAACAACTGCATGTTGCAACGAAGGAGAAGTTTTGAAACATTCATTAGCTCATCAGTATACACTTCTATTGCAAATTGAATAACGGTACTAATGCCAACCACAGCAACACAGCGATCCGTACACACTCCAAGCCCCAAGGTCTGGAGGCTGTGAGAGCCATTACATCATATTTATCATCACGTTTCCCAGTAACTGGTTAAGGGTCCTCAGGTACATCCTTTACGAGGAACATCATTGTACATCAGTCTGTTCGATCATTGACACAAGCGTACCTCAAATTATAGTGATGAATCACAAATAATTCTGGTTTAATAGCGATGCGATCTGTGAAGTCATCAGAAAGATTGACATTGTAATACACATGTATCCGCACGATTACACGTCTACGTATGCACCACCAGTGGTGTGGGGAGTCGCGACCACCCACCGCAGCGTGTAACGTTGATTAAAGCTAACTAACATTACGTAACAGCAGCAGTTGCAGATGGAGATCGCTGTAGCTGACGTTACGAGCGACCGTTAGCTCGGATGCTTAGCTGCTGTATTTTGGCCGCATCCCCCGGCCCTCAATCTGGCCTAATTTCCTGCCGGCTCACTTAGCTGCCCCTCCTTTTCCAGTAAGGACTGTAAACCGTTACCCCATAAACACAAATATATACGATACAGAAAACTATTTCATAATACGAGACCCTGATTGGAGAATATAACGTTTTAACTGTTTTAAAGGCACATTACTGACCATAGGGTTTGTTTCGCCTTTTTCATTCAGCTGGTTAACCAGCTAACCGCTAGCTGCTAACCAGTTGTATCGTTGGCATGTTAATACTTAGCGTTACCTATAGGCGAGGAGATAGAAAATGATCTCAACACAATACATTTCAAAGTGGAATATGACGGCCACACAGCCCGCAGATGTTAGTTTACAGTGTTACAGACTGACCTGCCTGCTTGGCTAACTAGCGTCCTGTCCTCCTCAATTAACGTTAGCTGTGCAAGCTAACTGGCTGAGCCTACCTCAGCGGATGCTGTGGTTGAATGAGCAATTCGAATTTAAAAGTCACAACGCGAGTACTGAAGACGCACAGCATACATTATGTTGACAACATTTGAGACAAAACAAACAAACACAGCTATAACCTGCTAACAAAAAAACATGTTATCCATACCGTATCCTCTATTTGTGTCTTTACGCCGGGCGTTGGCAGCTCCGCGCTAGGGGCTTCCCAGTCAACTGAACAGGGACGCGTTGCGTGCGTGACGTGCTGCTACGTAATTACGTCAATCGATTTTCTGTGCGACCAATTTCTATTGCGATAAAGAAACTTAAAACCAAGCGAGTTGCAAGACTGGTTTGACGAGAAGCCTGTGCACACGTAAAATATTGAAACATTTCTATTTGAGAGATGAAAAAAATAACGAGTTGAACAGTTTAATGTGATAAGGTGCCTTACTCTCAGTTTGAACACTAAAGACATATGTTCCCATCTCTCCGTTTATAATAGTGAACTAGTCATTTCTATGCAAATATATCCTAAAGTGCCTCAATGTATAATCTGGGAATGCGGTTTTTAGTTGAATTTGACTTATGTTTTTTAGCCTTTGGACTATTCTCTTTAGCTCGGTTTCATAAAACATGTAACATAACGGGTGAGATCATACAAAAACCATCAACCAGCTCTGGTTCTTTCACGTAAACATTATAGAAGTTAATGTTTAATTGGCTGCAAGAGTCGGGCCAACATGAGATTATTGCTATAGTGTGGTCTGCCACTAGATGGCAATGTCGCTCAATGGCCCAAATTCTCATGCAAACTATTTAGCTATTACCATGTAGTGAATTAAGACGAAATACTAAAAAAGGTGTAAGAAAGAAAGATTTATTGTCAAAACAATGTTAGAAAGAAACAACTACAATATTCATGTTGTATTAACAAACATACTCAACATCAATTTGCAAAAACAGTTTTCTCTGAAAGAAATGTTAGATGTCCTAGGTGGACACACTCTGCAGCAAGGTAATGTTGTCTCCTTTCAACATGATCCTGCCTGGGAGACACAAACAAAAGTGGAGGTGGGTCAGAATCCGAGATGATCGAAACCGATATAAAGAGTAACTACTTGTGGAGCCGGGCCCGTGTCCCACAGATGATTGACTAGTGCATCAACGTCATTGGATCTGTAGAAGGTTTGGCTCCCCTCTGAGCTCAAGCGGGTTCATTAAGTACCGAATGAGCCAAAAATGGGCTTCAAGATACAATACGTAGGTTCCAACCAGCATCTGGAGTGACGGTTGGCAACATTTATAATGGCTATAATTTGCTTGGTTCATTCCCAAATGGACCTAGAAGGATTTTAGTAATTTCAGTGTCAGCTGGAACTATTATGCATCTTCTGAAATATTGGCATGAAAAAAAAAAAGTTAGTTTTTGGGATGAAAAGTGAAAGGATTAAATTGAAAAAATATGTATTCAAATTTGGCGTGGTGCAAAATAGATATCTTATTTACACTAACAAGTGTTCAGTGAGTAACGCTTTCTAAAAGCGGCTAGTAGAGAGACGGTATGACGGTCAGGTATGCAAATGCGTACAAATCAATGTTAAAGAAAGCTACAAATACAGATGTATTTATTACCCAGCGGCTTCCTGTTCTTAGTCTTCATGTGGACCTCTTCAGCATCATCTAGAACCAGGTTCATGTACTCATCAAAGCCCTGAGACAAATGGAATGGTTAGCCACAAATTAAAGCATTTACTTTTTCACATTCGTATCATAAATCCCTTATATTTGGCTAGCTTTTATGATGACCAAATCTATCTAGCTGATAAGTGGCTCTGAAACAATTGGTTATCAGAGCAGTGCCATTCGACAAGAACTTGAAGCGGGGGACCACAACTTAGATGGGTTCCACAACACCAAACGTACCGGCCAGAGGAAGAGACGATGCCAATGTGACGAGTCATGAGCCATTATGAAAACAAAACAGGCCATTTATAAAGAAATACCAGTTTTACAGAGGAGCGCTACGCCACCGACTGATTTTTTTGGGCCCTGTCTGCATAATGGGCACCTACATCTGATACGTCGTCACCACCTGATGGATGGAGAGATGGTCATACTAGTACCAATGACCAACTCCTAAGGAGACCTCTTATCCAGTAAAACAAATAACTTGTGGACTCAAGTCTTAGTCTAGCCACCGTTTTTTAGCATCTCAAAAATAACCGCCTGTGGGAATATGTCGCCACACATGCCACATGAACGTAAATGTTTGGTTAACCGACCACAGCCATTGTGACTGATCAATGGCAACAACGTGTGTACGCAGACACACTTCACTGAGCGGTCATTGGAAAGCGGCCTTGTTCTCAGCTGGGATTCATTCACTTTATTATATACTTTGCATAGACACACGTGTATCATTTCAGCGTGCCATGGCAGTCTGCTTCAAAGCCTCATTTTATACCAACATAGATGATTGGAATTCACAGCCGTAGATTTTTCTTCTTGATCTTGGGAAATTTATATTCCGAATACAATGTTACTATTTCTCCGGCTGGAGTCTTCAGGGAGAGCAGCAGACTTCCTGACCATTTTCACTCCACATTGTCAATCAGCAATGTGTTTATGAGGTGACTATGGGAATAAAGTCATCCAACACGACATCCTGCGATTCAATTAAAATAAATAGTCAACTTACAATAATGCATCCCTCTATCCGCATGTTCACCTGTTCATACAACCACACCTGGATCCGTGAGCGCTGCGAACGAGAACAACGACGAGAATCACACTTTAGCCACAAGGCCGACAGGAGATAACGTCAGAATGGGCTGTGTGGTTTGGAGAGAAAGAAGTTTAGATACTTACGTTTTGCAGATACCTGAAAATTAGGTTCTGGTACACGGAGTCAAGGAAATTCAACGTTCAAGAGCGAAAACTCACCGACGAGCTAAATATGTGCATCGTGAGATGTTCACCAGTCGCACATGATGTTTTCAGACTAGTGGAAATTGTTGGTGGCATTGCAGCCTTCAGGCTGGAGCACGTTAGGCATTAATTAGCATTACATGGACTACGTGGAGCCGGGCGATGTAACAACAACGATGTAGCACAACGTAGCAGCAGATATCCACATATCAATACGAGGAAACGTACTGTGCGAAAGGGAAGTCCCAGCAGCAGTCATACGCATTAATTCATCAATTAACCACAATTAATTGCCAGGGTTGATTAAGACCCGTGTTTTCAATGCCTCGTTGTATAATCCCATAGCTGTTAAAACTCGCTGCGCGTTAGCAACGCGGTGAATGAATGACCGGCTAGCAAGCTAAAGAGAAAGGTTAGCTTAGCTGCTAAGTTATTGTAGCAAGCGATTCACCCGCGTATTCCGTGCATGGAGACACAAAAGGATACAATGGGCTGCACCATAACCTTCTGGATCTTCTGTCCTTGTCCCCTGTACGCCATTCTTCCGAGAAAATACCAGCGGTAGGTATTATTTTAAAAAATTGCACCTTTTTATCAGCGCGGTACGTCAACGACACGCTCACGTTGTGAGATCGCTCTGCTGTAATGGCGGGCTTCTTCCGCGTGCTCGTGCCGGTTAAGAGAAAGACGTCGCGTGGTTTATTACAGCGCCCCTGCAGGTCGGATGTCCTCACTGCAGCCACTTGTTGCTCCGCAGACACGTGTTGACGTTTTCACGCGTATGCATGTACTTTTTGAGGTCATTTATTTTATTTCTAAAACAAATGTTGTACACATAGATACCGACAGCGGTCTCTTGCTGGCTGTCACAATGCAATGTTCGTAAAATACATCTGTGCTCGAAGAAGATCCCAAAGCATTTGTAGCATTTTATTATGTTCATACACTCATTTCATGTTTTGAGTATATAGGTATTTTACGGGGACGATGCATATTGTTGGTAGAACATATAGGCACTGTCAAACTGTCTTTTATCAACGTGTAACCTTTTTAATGCACCCTAAACACTTTTTTAGCAATCAATGGTATAACGTCATAGTCCATTTCCCTTTAACTTCTGGTTCCAATGCGTACCGCTGACACGTTCTCACATCCGGTAACCAAATGTTTATTCTTTTTTGGTTCATGTTACCGTGATATCATATCATTTGCATATCCATGATGGATCATTATTCAGCTTTTAATATGGACACAATAGCCTGAAAGGAAGCCATGGCCAGATCAACCCACCAGAGGGCCCCATGGGAAAGAAGAAAACACAACTGTCTCAGCTGCCAGCGGTGATGACTCGCTACTTGAACTTGCATTAAGGCACCACAATCAAATGGAAAGCTTGATAGCAGAAGAGTGGAGATGGAATGAGATAGTGAGAAATAGAGGTCCACTTTCTTTTACGTATACATGATCCGTATTAACCTCTGACAAGCTGTGATTAGCAGGGACTCTCATTAGAGCTGCAACATGTTTTAATACCGCAGGATTCAGTCATTCTGCTTCGCGTCTTTGCACGCGTCCCAAGTCAATTGGAGATTTAGCAAATTCGCCAATTGGGCGTCCTTCAGTTCAATGCCATTCGTTATTGTTGAAATTTCAATCCGATTGTCCCTTCGTTTTCTTTTCTTTGATACTGAAAGAGCCCTGGCTCACCATGACCTCTGACCTCTCTATACAGACAGCGTTAATGAATGCACATGTACATTTTAAGATCTGATACGTGACATTATTTGTAAATATAAATAGGGACTCATAAATCGAAGTGAAACACTATGAAAATGAGCGGAAAATGTGAAACAAAAAGAAACATTCCAGCGTGTGTGCATGACATGAGCGCACACAAAGATGATGTGCGACACCTTCCTTCATCTCGTTTGGATCTCTGATAAACACGGTCAAAAGAAATGGTGTTGCATGGTATCAAAAGGTTAAATCACGTGTGGAAAATACAAAAAAGGTGCAAACTTCCGTTTACTTAATTAGGGACCTGTTGCGTCAGATAAGAAACTAAATATATATAAAACAAGTTATCCTTTAGTTCGTAAACAGTCATATAAAGAAATATTAATACAAAACATTTGATTATCTTCACTTAACCTTGTACTTTTTACCCAAATGGGACGTTCGCCTGTAGAGGGCGCCGCGTCACATATCGATATTCTGACAGAACACGTCGTCTCTCTGGGGAAGTTGGCAGCAGCTCCTCCGGAGACGCGTGGAACAATAGGCGATCTCCTCTCCCGCACGCTGGTCTCTCATCTCTAAGAGCGAGAAATAAAACCACTTCATGTCTTCATCTTTGATCTGGGAAGAAGAAGAAAGAGAGACGTCCAAACGCTGCTGCTGCTGCTCTCGTGCCAGCAAGAAGGCCTTGAAGTCCGGGTGCCAGACACTTCACGACAATCAGCCGGCATCCCACCATAATTGGCCACGGCGTTCCCTCTTGATATATTTAGATGGTATATTATTTAAAGCACGATTAGCAATTTGTCCGCCGCGCACAATATACCTGTAACACGATGAGCCGAGTCGGGGGTGGAGGGGTCTGGGGTGTTGAGGGGTCGGCTGGTGGGGCAGCCTTGAATGCGCAGTTAACAATGGTATTAATAACATGTAACGCAGCCCCCCCCCCCTCCCCACCCCCCCTCCCCCAACCTGCCCAGAGGAGAAAGTATGACGGAAATTAGCAGCCGAGGACAGACGAGAGTCTGC